GCAAAATCACCATGGACCACATTTAGCACTTATAAAGATTCACACTTCACCCCAAGTAGTATCCCTATGGATCTCCCCCTTGGAGGTAGACAGTGCCAGTCAAATTCAACCCCCCACCCAGAAATGGTGTTGAGAAACTGAGGAGTGAAATTATCTCTACCCATCTCCATCAAAGCAATAAAATCTAATTTTTGTTCTACTGATGTATCGCTAAGGAATTTCCTTTTAGCCAAGTCCGCTAGACCTCTGCTATTCCAGAATATCCCTTTCATATTTCATCATAGATTTTTTTTTCTTTTGTTTGACTCTCACACTCCGATGAACCGCCGATGTAGGATAAACATTCCTTTTCCAGGGTTTTTTTGGTTTATCCTTCATGTCCTCAATACATTTAACATCGGTGACAGAAGTGGCCTCCAGCTGCAAAGGGGCCACATACCCCTCTGTAACCATATCCTCCTCCTCAATGTCCAAGCACTCCGTGGGGACTAAATCCTCACAGAGACGCTGAAGCCCATTTACTGCAAGATCATTGATATCTGCCTCATTCATACGTTTTACCGCTGCTAGATGTCGTATTAAATCCACAGCTCTATCAGTCTCTAAGTCTAGTAAGTCATTAATTGATTTTTCGGTTTCTTTCTCATTACTACCAAGAGAAATCCCTATGTTGTTGGCTTTATCAATAATATCATGTTTCGAAAAGTGAAGAATTGAACAACTTGTATTAACTGACATACCTGTATGAACTTCGATGTCTCGAAGCTTGGCGGCCCTCATGGCACGCCCCATCCGCGTCCGACTGATCCTGTATCCGATGGCTAAAGCTCCTGCCACTAGACAAAGTGTCCGAAATACCTCCAAAAGCCATCACGTTCTCCAGAGCGACACCTGCCGGGCTATGGTCGCCTGCCGTATGCCCAACTGAGTCAGAAGTGATGGGCGACACCCCGGGCTGGACCGTCGGTGAAGCATCAGCCAGGGCGTCAGAACCAGTACCAATCTGATCTGCATCACTGACCAACGTGGACACCACCTGTGTCGAGCCAGTCACAAGAGGCGACTGAGGAGTCGCAGGAAACCGGGCGCCCCCCAGCTGAGAAGGAGGGGTGTCTTTCATCTCAGGAGTGACTCGCCTCTCCTGTAGTGACAGCTGCGGTATGTGCTCAACCACCGTCTGTCTGTGATGATCCTGAACCACCTCAAAGGAAATCCAGCATAAGAATCCTCCATCTCCATGCGATCGCTCCACAGGCGACTAGGCGCGGATGCCGCCTGGAACAAACCAAACCTGAGAGAAGCCGCCGGAGTGGACAAGTGGGTCGACCCCTTGTCTGTCCCCGCCTCAGTCGACTGCGAGGATTTACCAGCCGGCACCTTCTTCCCAGACAGGTCCTTGGGATTTTCGTCCATCCCCTAGTAACCATTCCCATCTCTGTCACCATCCTTGGTCATGTCAACATCCATGTTCCCAATGTTTCTATCTGCAAGAGGAGTCTCCTCAACCCCAACATCCAAATTATAGCTCAGACCATCATATGACCATGGCACACAATCCGGGATATATTTTGCCCTCACCACACCAACGAGTATTCTGACAACTCCATGCATACGGGTATATGGCATATCCACCTTCTCTGTTTTACCGAACAGAGACCCAAGACTGGAGATAATAAGAAAGTCATTAAGCAATGTATCCGGAACACCAGTGAGTCTGACCCAAACCTTCTCCAGCGGTATCCTTGTCGGCCCAGGTCTTGCACACTCGTCAAACTCGAGGATACACATGCTCCCGGGAACCCTGCTGAGTCCACACTTAAGCAAATGATTGAGATCCTCTCTCCTAGGGAACTCAACCCTGTAGACCTGATCCTCTACCCTGATAGGAGACCGGTGAAAGGAATCAGACACCAGTCGTCTGAGCTGCTGACACACTTGTTCCACTATCAAAGTCCCTTTAGTCACCCTGACCAGACCAAATCTCGAGCTCTCCGATGTGGGGGTCACCGAGATCGTACGTGAAGTCTCAAAGACCATAAATATTCACGACTGGTGTGGGTACTAGAAGCAATGGACAATCGTCAGATGAGTGTCCCGGCTTCAAGAAGATGTCACAAAATACTTCTGTACATTCAATCACAAAGTGACCTGGGAGTCCACAACGATAACAAGTCATCTTTTCTTTCTTGTGTGTGGCCTTATTAGCCCTCATGTTTTCGGCTTTGTCACTACCTTTGTCGCTCATCCCATCTCTGTCATCGGTGGGCATCGTGGTCGGCATTGACACCACCGCCAACGCCGTAACCGCCGTCATCGCAGCATCAAGAAAAGAAGCCGTGGAAGTAGAAGCAGTGGGCACGGCCGTCTTCACCGCCCCGCCGTCATTCTTTGCCATTTTGATTGTCGGCTACTTAGGGTAAACCTTGGGGGCATACGGGCGATGTGGAGGAGGGTTTAGGCCATCCCCTCCCCGCCCTCCCCGCTGACGATAATGAGGCCCTATGGCACCCTCGACAAACTGGCCGGACGGAGGATTGAAATTCGCTGCCACTGGTTGCTGCCATAACCTCTTCCTCCCACGTCATTCCATTGGTTCCAACCATTACGATAGCCCTGATAGCCATCGTCGTTGCCACGTCCACCTCCATATCCGCCACGACCGCCATTGAAACCACCACGGCCCTCAGCATAATCACCGCGGCCACCGCCTCCGGGAGCAACTCCAGAATCAGCACATCCCGCGCCGCCGCCGGATCCCGTGTGAGCCGCTGCATGGTTCTGCCCGGCATCACCCGCCCCGCGCCCGGTGCCGTCTCCACCACGCGGAGCAGTAGGTGGCTTTGGCGGGTGTTCTGCTAGGAACCGTGGGGTGGGCGGGAGTCACCTCGCCCAGCCATGCTCGCCGGCGGGACTCGCCTGCTCTACCCATCAGCAGAGGGAAGCCCGTCGCCAGCCTCTGCCGAACCCTAGCCGTGTCCTCGTCGCTAGCCAATGTACGTGGATGTTCTGGATTCTCGATCGAAGGAACTAAAACGTACTACGCCGTATCGTCGACCGAACCAGACCTGGACGCAGGACGTGGATTTTTAGAACAGCTGCACCCGGGCCCTGCTATCCTAGCTGTCCAATATTGCTTTAAGATCTGTGCAACACAACTAACTTTCTATCTGAAATTTTCTCTTTTTTGTTTCTCTCGCATAAAACATGTTTTGAAGTTCAAACCTTTGCAGCGTGGCAAAGCTTCCTATCTAGAATCGAGGATGAATCTTTCAGATTTTTTGGTCAAAAATAAATATACAAAAAATGTTTTTTTAGATTTAAAAATCATTTTTTGTATATTTATTTTTGACCAAAAAATCTGAAAGATTTATCCTAGATTCTAGATAGAAAACTTTGCTACGCTGCAAAGGTTTGAACTTCAAAACATGTTTTATGCAAGAGAAACAAAAAAGAGAAATGTGTTTGCACGAATCGCGAAGCGCAGAATGGATGGCTAGGATAGCAGGGCCTGGGTGCAGCTGTGCTATTATATATTTTCGCCTGGACGCATACCCGTCTGATCCCGTCCCATCGATCAGGCTTTCGTGTTGGGCCACATACCCAGGTGAGATCGGCCCACCTGCCGAGAGAAGCCCATCGGCGCCCAATAAGCTTTTCAAACAAGCCGTTCTCGCAGATCGGATCCCGAGCACCGGTGATTCTGGCGCGAACGTCGCCGGCGCCTTCTTCGTCTGACCGGCCGCCGCCCGGTGCCCCTTCTTCTTCCTGACGACCATGTCCATGAATCCGGACGCACCATATCGAATAAGGTGAGCATAGGCATGCTTACCTTGGGGAGGGGGCCCTTCCATGGCCGAACAGCCGACGGCGCCCTCCTCCGATGAACGACTCGCCAGATCATCTCCGTCGCCTCTCCCGTGTGTAGTCCTGCCCTTGCTGGATCGTCGCCCGGTAACACGTCTTGAACGATCGCCGCCACATCCTCAAAAGGTCGCTAATGTCAATTTATGACGGCCAGCTTTTGACCATATGTTTTTGGTCACAAAAAGGTCACAAATGGAAATGTGTGACCATTCAGTGACCAATAGTGATGGTCACAAGTTGACATATTTCTTGTAGTGCTCCTTGTTGTAGCCGGAGTTGAGTAATTCACAGACCCAATCGGACGGCGTTGGTGAAGCCTCCGGCAACGAACTGCCCGCTTCATCATCCTCATCGTCGTCCTCGCTATCGCCCAGCGCCCAAAAACGCCCTCCGACGTGCCGCCGACCACTTGGGGTGGATCCCAGTCGCGCACGGGCGGACGCCCCTACGGTCGCCCTCCCATCGCCACTAGCATATGCTGAAGAAAGCAGCTCAAAGTAAGGCTGATGCATGTGACCTTGTGTGATTTTCTATCATTTATTTTCTATTTGTGACATGTATTTTTTAGTGTATATAGTGGAATAAAATAGAATAGAGATAGATTGCAAGATATATATTTTGATTATTCTTTGGAGCAGTGTTGCTAAATACTAAGACTTGTTTTATCTCAGTCGATTGATGTTATATTTGTGAGATTTATGTGAAGACTCGTGCAAAAAGTTCTTCGTAGTTTTTAATATTTGATTCATAACTATCACAGATCGAGATCTAGCACAGATATAATCCCTTCGTTTCAAATTACTCGTCACAAAAATGAATATATCTAGAACTAAAATGCAGCTAGATACATCCATAACTGCAACAAGTAATTCAAATTACAAGGATAAAGAGCAGCGAGCAGAGGGACACGTGGATGGCGAAACACAAGGCGCCGGATCGGCCGCTAATTCTACACGTTTTCGAGTCGAGTAGCAGTAGCCAAGTTGCACTTGATAGTTGATACATTGGGAATGGGATCTTTGCTATAAATTGCACGCAGTTCTCAATGCTCAACGACGTTCTTCTTCCACTTCCTGCCAAAGAGGAGCTAGCACAGGTAAATCATCTCCCAAATTCTGAAGGCTGAACGAACTTACATGCAGGGCAAGACAGACATGTCTGCCAAGGGCGGCAAGGCCCTTGTCCAGTCGGACGCGGGGGCGTATGTGGCGTGGTCGGGCGTCGACCAGCCGGAGCTTACTGCAGAGGGGCTCGGGTGTGGCTTGCTCGTGCTCAGGCCGCTCTCCTTCGCGCTGCCGCACTACGCCGACTCCCACAAGTTCGGCTACGTCCTCCTAGGCTCCGGGGTCGCCGGTGTCCTCCCGGTCGCCACGGGGAACGCCTCCTCCGCGGCCAGGGAGAGGGTCGTGCGCCTCGAGGTCGGCGACGTCATAGCCGTGCGCACTGGGGATGTCTCGTGGTGGTACAACGACAGCGACGGCGATGCGGACGACCTCTCAATCTTGTTCATGGGCGACACGGAGCGCGCTGTCAGCCCGGGGGACATTTCCTACTTCTTTCTCGCCGGCGGCAACAGCGTCCTAGGCGGCTTCGACATGGGCCTCCTCGCCAGGTCATGGCCTGGCGTGACGAAGGAGCAGGCCGCCGCCGTGTTCCGGAGCCAGCCAGCCGTCCTCCTCACGGGGCTGAGCACGAAGCTGCCCGGCGTCTGCCCGCGCGAGCACGACAGAAAAGGGCTCGTCGTGAACGCCGGACAAGTCGCTGCAGGGACCCTGGAGACGCTCACCGCGGCGGACCTGGCGGCGCTAGGGGACCTCGGGATCAGCGCGGTGATCGGCCGGCTCGATCCCGGCGCCGCGTGCGCGCCATGGGTGTTACGGGAGGGTGCGGCGCAGGCGGTGTACGTGGCACGTGGGAGCGCGGGTGCAGGTGTCTTCCTCCGCGGGCGGCGAGACGCTGCTGCTGGACGAGGAGGTCGCCGCGGGGAGTGTGTTCGTCGTACCGCGGTTCGCGGTGGCGCTCATCTCCGCCGGCGCCAACGGAGCAGAGTGGGTGTCCCTGGTCAAGAGCGCCAGGTACGTATATGTGGATTTCGGCATTTCGCTAGCTTATATGTAAAATGGCAATCATTACTCATTATGCTGTCGTGCTCGCATGGCAGGCCCGCGGTGGAGCACCTGACCGGGGATGGCTCGGTGCTCGGCGGCTTGACCGCGCAGGTGCTGCAGGCGTCGCTGAGCGTGGCGCCGGAGCTGGTGGAGCTGCTCGGAGGCCGCAGCGCCGAGCCGTCGCACTGAGCGGTCGGTGCACGCGTTCGCGCCGCGGCGTCCGTTCACTTTCCGTGGCGCGTGTGTCCCGTATGCTCCGTTGACGTGTACCACACGAGCTGTATTATACGCTGTTACGTCTCTACACGTGCTTACTTACGTGAATGAGCAAAATAATTATGTGCATTGTTGTACTCATATGACACCACAAGTGTGTTACCCCTCGGTTTGGGTTATATACGTTGTTATGTCTCTTAATTACGTGAATGAGAAAAATAATTCTGCGCGTTGTTGTACTCATATGAGACCACAAGTCTGTTAGCCGTAGGCTTGGGTTTTACTCCATTCATTTCTTTTTTATTTTGCCTACTAGTTTTGTTTTAAATTAAACTTTCTAAAGTTCGTTCAATTATATATATAGAAACAGTTTAGCTACTTGTAAGTCAGCCTGCATTTAGAATTTGGGCCAATGGAGTTTAGGATCAAGGAAGCATAAGCTGCCAGAGGGAAGTAAGGAGCAGCCGCTGGCTCGCCGGACAAGCATCAACCTCTGAGTCTATCTTAGGATGGCAGACGACCTCAATATCTATCTTACGGTGGCACACGACCCCGATATCCATCTTAGAGGTGGGGGAGGGTGTATGTTCGCCCGGAAAAATTGTTCATCACTGGGGTTAGAACGATGGCCAAGGGCAACGACACCATGGCGGTGGGTGGTGGTTGGGGGGAGGCCAGGGCGGCTATGCTGGGGAGCGCCGTCGGCCACGAGCGGCGGCAGCAGGCGGTTAGATCGGTGGTAGATCGGCGGTTCGAGGTAGAAGATGAATAGTAAAAATGTTTCCAAGGTAGGAAGGCATCTTGCCGTTGGTTTTGCATCTGAGGGTTGAAAATGATTCTGCTGACCATAAATTCATTTTCAGTCGATTGATCTCTAGCTACTCCCGTATAGAAAGCATATTAACATTCACAATACCAAATCAATATCATTAGTTCCATCACGGAATATACTTCATACTCTCTTAGTTTCATAATGTAGTGCCCATAATGAAAGTACGGATTATGATGATTGTAATTATATATGTTTGGCATGCTAGGTGTAAATATTTTTCTACGCAAACTTGGTCAAAGTTGATGATATTTGACTTTAAAAAATCTATATACTCTACATTATGGAATATAATGAGTATTGTATTAATTTAGTATTGTATATGTTGATATTAGTTATTGGCGTGGATGGCTGGTGAGATGTTTTCAAACACGGGCGAGCCGTTGGGGGCGGTCCTAGGTGCCGTGGGCGGCGACTCTGCTTCCCCCGGTGACCTCGCCGTGGCTGATGCGTGGGTGCAAGTTCGGCGGGGCCCGAGTGGCGTCCCGGTGTGCCCGGCTCCGGTGTGCTCCTCGGAGTCGGGGCGGGGGGCATGCGGTGGTCGTTTCTGGGCCCTGGCGGCGGGCGAGTCCGACGAGGAGGATGGGACTTCCCCGCCGCGACTGGCTCCCCCGCCGGCTGGCGCGACCCTCGGCGACTTCGTGCAGGTGGCGGTGGCGGCCGGCGTCGGTCGGGGAGATTGTCGTCGTCGTTTCGCCCCGGGGGGCAGTGGATCTCGGGCTACGGCGGTGCGGTACTGGAGACCGCCGACGCCCTCTGCGCCGAGCCCGCGGGTGGACCGCGCCCCTCGTCGTCCGTTGTCCTTGCGGCGGCCTCGGCGGCGGTCGAGGAGTGGCCTTCGCTCCCTCTCGTGCCCGCGTCGGCGTTGTTGTCGGCGGCGGCGGCACGGGTGGCGGAGATGGCCGACGCGCTAGGGTTACCGCTGTCGGGCGGGGTGCCTGCCTTGGGCTAGCTTGCGCTTGTTGGGCCTGGGACAGCCTCGGGCTGTCTTGGGG